GCAGAGCTCATCAGGCCCCGCCCACCTCTGGGGCTCCCAGTCAGACCCTCACACAGCTGCCAGGCCCAGATGTTCCCCAGGAGGAGCAGCCGAGGCCGGTCAGCCATCGCCCAGCCCCGTCTCAGCAGGAGGAGAGAGAGCTGCTTCTGGAGGAGAAAAGCAGGAACAGAGAGCTGCTTCCTCTCTGCTCTGATCAGAGACTCCCAGATGCTGCTGTCAGAGCTCATCAGGACCTGATCTGAAGCTTTTCAGGGTTTGAATCCAGCTGTTGTCCTCCAGCTGTTGTCCTCCACCTGTTCTCCTCCAGCTGTTGTCCAGCTGTGGTCATCCAGCTCAGAGTGTGTGTTTCCTAAAGCAGGAAGTCTAAAATGACCCTCAGCTCTGAGTTCCAGCTGTTAGTGGACTGGTTTCAGCTCTCAGAGTTTTTTCTTCTCTGGATGCTGAACAGAGCTGATCCAGGAAGTGAACCTCATTCTGGAGGAGAAGCAGCAGGACTCTGGTTCTCTGGACTCTGGTGTGGTCAGAGGCTCAGATGTTGATGGTTTCTGTCAGAGTTTAACCAGCAGAGCAGGAAGCCTCCAGCTGGTCTCAGACCAGACAGGAACACACTCAGTCCAGACTCAGCAGAACCGGGGACATCAGGACGGGGAAAAGAAGCAAATCAGTGTAAATTAGACAGAAAAATGAACAGTTTGAGGATAAAAGGATCCAGAAACCATCCAGCTGAACCTGCGCAGGTTTCCTGCTCAGCCGTGGTGGTGCTTCTGGACTGTGGAGGAAGGCGGGGAACCCACACAGAGCACAGACAGAACCAGAACCGGCTCCTGTGGGGGGCGCTCTGGGCTGGACGCAGCGCTCATGGCCGAACACAGGAAGAGAGCAGGAGGCTGTGCAGCTTTACGGAGTCCCTGTGGAGGGCTGAGCTGGGCCTGCAGCCCCCCGGCCCCCCAGTCTGCCAGAACACAGAGGTCAGAGGTCAGCGCTGTGCCCGAGAGGCTCCGAGACGCTGGAA